TTCTCTCTGTGCCTGCATGTCTGTGTGCCTTTCTCATTCACTCTCATTCACTCTCACTGACTCTCTCTGTGCGTGTGTACCTCTCTCTAACTCCGTGTGCGTCTCTCTCTCTCCCCTCTCTCTCTCTCTCTCTCTCTCTCTCTCTCTCTGCGTGTCTGTGTGCCTTTCTCACTCTCTCTCTCTCTGTATGTGTGTGTGTGTGTCTCTCTCTCTCTGTGCGTGTTTGTGCGTGTGTGTGTGTGTGTGTGTGTGTGTATGTGTGTGTGTGTGTGTGTGTGTGTGTATGTGTGTATGTGTGCATGTGTGTGTTTATGTGTACATTGACTTACTTGAACTTTCTCCAACGACGAAAAGCAGCGCCACCAGAAGTGCCCAGTGAAGCTTCATCTTCGTCAACCTCTTCGTTCTGCAGAGAAAATGACAGATTACTGACGAATCGGAGTTTTAGATGACGAGAAAAAATTGTGAAACATTTTCACGGGTAGAAATCTAGTCTAGCGCTACTCGTGCTAATTGTCCTTTCTTTGACTATATAGCAAATAGTTTGAAGAAAGTGCACAAACACGGGTCTAAACTAAACCACAACTTCATTCTCGAAGAAGAGATAGGGGCCCTACCTGCCCAATCGACGCAAAACGTGGACCTCGCTCAAGCTTGAGTTCTCCAATCTACTTGAGAGTTGGCACAGTGAAGTGCAAAACCGTCCCCGTTTATATATCCTTCAGAGGTGTGGGGGCGGGGACACGACGCGTTCGCTAATCTTCTGTGAAGAATTCGAGTCCAAGGTATGCCGACGTGTGTGCGTCAAGTGTGACGGCGTTAAAAGTTATATAATCTCAGAGACATGACAAGAATCAACCAAAGTCAACATCACAGGACGTCTTCCCACCTGTTTAAATGGTACACTGGGCATGGAATGAGTCCTGACAAAGGGAGGTTTTACATATCTTACCTGGAGAATAGTTCATCCGTAATAAAAAAAACAGCTGCTACCATGTCATGAGATGGAATGTCAGATTTATCTTTGTTTTCTCTCCCACCAGGCTTGTTTAAAAGAAAAGCATTAATAACCTAGGTTTTTGGAAGGCATGCGCATCTAATCCAGGAGACACGGTTACTGACACACCTGGAGTGGTGTTCTTATTAAGGTCGTATTTTTCACTGTCACTGCCTTAATCCTCTATTGTCTGGTTTTAATCAGCTACTGCCTACTTTGTCTGTTTGTCTGTCCGTTGATTTCTTGGTTGGTTGTATTATAATTGGTTGGTTGATTTGTTTGTTTGTTTGTTTGTTGGTTGGTTGGTTGGTTGGTTGGTCAGTTGGTTGGTTGGTTGGTTGGTTGGTGGGCTGGTTGGTCGGTCGGTCGGTCGGTTTGTTGGTTGGTTGGTTGGTTGGTTCGTTCGTTGGTTGGTTCGTTCGTTCGTTGGTTCTTTCCTTGGTTTATTGGTTGGTGGGTGGGTAGGTAGGTGGTTTGGTTTGTTGCTTGGTTGGTTGGTTGGTTGGTTGGTTGGTTGGTTGGTTGGTTGGTTGGTTGGTTGGTTGGTTGGTTGGTTTGTCGGTTGGTGAGTTGGTTGGTCAGTTGGTTGGTCGGTTGGTTGGTTCGTTCGTTCGTTCGTTCCTTGGTTGGTTGGTTGGTTGGTTGGTTGGTTGGTTGGTTGGTTGGTTGGTTGGTTGGTTGGTTGGTTGGTTGGTTGGTTGGTTTGCAGGTCGGTCGGTTGGTTGAGCAAGTCCACGAGCATTTTCTGCATGGTCACTGCGCCTGACAGTTCAACTTCTCTGCATCATTGCGGCTCTAGAATGTACGAATGCAAGGACCAAGTACACAGGATGTTTTGTTTCCCTTATCTGAGCGTGAAACATTGCGAACAATCCCGCTTGTACCTCACATGACGTTATCGTTGCTCGTGTTATGTCAGTAACGTCACTAGAAACCACTTAATATGTCATCGGAATCATGGATCATGTTCGGTTGATCGAAACACAAAGCTTGCAGTTAGGGTGGTAATCATCACCAGTGCCTGAGAACCTTTAGTAGTAAGGGTCAGAGATGGCTAAAGCAGTATCTTGTATAGAGGTTTAGGCATTTTACAACTCGCATCTGAAATCAATGAGGTGGCGAGCTAAACTCAGCCTCGTTAACTTATAGGTATGACATGCATGTTAAGATACTCATGTAGTCTCGGAACAAAGAACAAAGGTGGGGTCGTGTGGCGTAGCGGCAGAGTACTCGACTCGGAACCCTGAGGTCCCGGGTTCGAGTCCTGACATCCTGACACAACTTTCCTCACTTAACTAAAGTGAAAATAAGTACTAGTTGTCCTGTTCCGTATTTGTCCTCTGCGTTGGTGACGGTATAAAATAACTTGAGTGTGCCGTCACCATGTCCAGTCATGAAATTTTGGAATACAAAAAACAAAGACTACCATGCACCTTTTGTGGCGTCGGATGGCGCAGTGGTAGAGCGTTCGACTATGAAACGGGGAGACCGGGGTTCTGTTTGACCAATAAAACCATTATTAGGCCACACTAATTTAATTTGTTGTTTTTCGGATTTTTTCAGAAAAAAATATGAAGCGACAGGGCGAAAAAAACAGGCCAATGCAACAATAATATCCGAAAATGAGCCATGAAGTGAACATACCAGGCTGGTTTATGATTAAAACAATAGATTTTGAACTTTTAATTAAACAAAATTGCATTGTTACATTGAAAAACATTGAAAGAAACAACTAGAAAGAAAATAACTTTTTTCAACCGATGGGGCCAAAATATGTCTTTCGTTGAGCATCTTGCAATTGATTTAGAACATTTTTTGGCAAATCAGAAGAAAATGGTCAGGGCAATCCGAGAAACAACAAATTAAATTGATGTGGCCTTATTATCATTATTTATTACATTTTGTGAATATTAGCTTAAAGCTGATTACCTATAGCTAGCTGTTTTCTTTAAGACAATGTCGAAAGATTTGTTTTGTCTTACTCCATTAGCTTCGAGAAAGTGTTGAATTTGGCTAAATGGACAGATGATATGTCAGAGGAGTTGGTACGCGGCCAACTGCTCTCTTAGCGCAGACTAACTCCACTAGTTGGCCAATTTCTACTGGCGACTAAGTGGTTGGAAAGTGTAGAAATTGGCTAAATAGACAGATGATATGTCTGGGGAGTTGGTCCGCAGTAACCTGTGCTCTTAGCGTAGACCAACTCCACTATTTGGCCAATTTCTACTCTTTCCAGCCGCTTCTCAAAGCCTGGTAGAGGCTAATGTAAACCTTTGGCACTGAAAACGTGTCTCGGATGTTAGAACAGATTGTGCAGATTTGTACCAGATCAGTCTAACGCGCGGCCAATATTGTCATGCTCCTTAAAAGACATACCAGCATACAAGAGCCTGCTATGAAACCTAGGGACTAGTTTTTAAGCGCCTGGCACACATTGACGAATTTGGCCTCCCGAACGCTAGCCGAACGCCCGCCAATCATGGTTAGGAGTGGGTCGGCTGGCGTTCGGGAGGTTTGATCACAGTTGCAATTGGCTGGTTTAGAACGCAAGTCAGCAAAACACCTGCCAACCAACCATCCCGGAGTAAGTCAGCAATGCTTGGGGTGTGTTCAGGGATCAAATTCGGCTCCAGTTTAACTCAAATTCGTTTTGACTCATATACAAAATGTAGTCTTGGCCCTGATCTGGTCAGAATGATCTGGTCAGAACGAATTCGTGGGAAGTTATAATGGGGTAGCCTGGTATCCAGCCTTGTTAGCTTTAGTCCGCTACCCAAGATCCGCTCCCCGCTTGTTGGCGGGGAGCGGATCTTGGGTAGCGGACTAAAGCTAACAAGGCTGGATACCAGGCTAATAATAGGGTCGTGTGAATGGGGTCGTGTGGCGTACGTGAGTAGGGTCGGTGGCGTAGCGGTAGCGTGTTCGGCCCAGGCCCAAGAGGTCCCGGGTCCGAGTCCTGCCCGGTGTCACAGATCTTGTGCCCTTGGGAAAGACACTTAACAAGACTTTCCTCACTTTACTCAGGTGTAAATGAGTACCTAGCTTCGGCTAGGGACGTCCCTCGGATAGGATGTTAAATGGAGGTCCCGTGTTTGGGAGAGGCCACAACCCACGCACGTTAAAGAACCCACCACTTACCGAAAAGTCTAGGGGACATTCCCGGTGTGAGTGGTTCAAACCTTACAGTCTGGTCATAGGTTTGAAATCTGGAAGAGGTGATAGTCATCTGTTATGTCAATCCTTCCAGAATTGTGGTAAATCTTCATAAAAAAACATGTGTGACAGGGGCTTTAAAGATTGGACTTACTCCACCACGCAAGCTAGTTTAATCCACTTTAATCCAGGAAGAAGGGTTGACAGACTACCAGGCATGTAGGGGTGGGCGCAGGTGAGGAATGAGTTTCATCCGTTAAGCTCCTGTCACACATCAAAGAATGTTTAGACCTTAGAACAAGCAGTATAACCTGATTCATCTGTAGTCTTGTACGTAGGTTAATTCCATTGTACCCACGTATCTGTCTGTATGTCTACACGTAGTTTAAGACCTTACGAAAGTCGCTGTACTTTTGTTGTGTCAATAAAGCTCTCAGCCGAATCTGGCCTCCCGAACACCAGCCGAACTCCCCCCAACCATGGTTAGGAGTAGGTCGGGAGCAAGGTTGGCTACTGTTCAGCTGAATGTTCAGAATTGTTTGAAATATTCGGGTGTGGGCGGGAGGTACGGCCACGGTCGGCTTGTGTTCGGGAGTAGGTCGGGTCGGCGTGTAGGCGGTCGACTCATATTTAACACTAGAGTTCCCCGATCTCATACCTTCGCCAAATGATGTTAATCTTATGATTGACAAATTATAGATTAGATTATTCCCCCCTGATTTAAGAAATAGGAACCTAATTTTCATGAATTATATCATTTTATCATAATGTCAACCAAAAGAAAGTCTTATATTAACAAACAATGCATTCTAGCATTCCCTAATAGATTATGCAAATGAGGTCCTGATTTAAATAAATTATGTTTAATGATGTTCACCTCAATTTAACTTTCAAATACCACAAGTATGAAATTCCAGGCAGTTATCATTACATAATTATAAAATTTTCTCATTAATTATGCAAATTAAGTCATTATTAACATAATCAATATCTTCCTGTGTTTCTCTCGTTGTCAATTACCAATGTCACAAGTTTCAATTGTCCTATCATGGAATGCAGATGATTTATAGAATTTCCCCATAAATTATGCAAATTACATCCATATTTGCATAATTGTCACATAATTATATTACGCATCACGTAAGCTACCTACATACCAAAAATCACGACGATCCGTCAACTGGTTCTTGAGTTATCCCCTTTTGAATATTTTCAAGAATATATCCCTGCAGTTCCAGAGCAAGCCGCTAGGGGGCCTAAACTCACGTCACTTCTTTCCTAGCACAAGAGCTACCTACCATCCAAATTTCATCATCATAGCATGTCTAGATCATGAGATATCAAAACCGGAAGTTCAGCTGCAGTACCATTACAAGCCGCTAGGGGGTCAAAAATCTAATCATTTTGAGGTCTCATCAAGACCTACCCACCTACCAAATATCAAGACAATCCATTAAGGCCTTCTCAAGTTATCGTGTTTACAGACAGACAGACAGACAGACACACACACACACACACACATACACGAACGCCCCTGAAAACATAACCTTCTTGGCGAAGGTAATAAATTCGATTCGTAAAGAAACCTAGGCCTAAGTCTGGTCAGACTGCTCTCGAACTTTAGCCAACCTATGCCGGCCGGTGTTCGGGGGAAGGATTTGAATATGTGACAAGGGCTTAAAACAAGACCCCTACCCCCACCCCCGACATACCACCACTTAAATCTCCTGTGCCT